AAACCCAAAGCCTAAACCCTAAACCTCATTGAACTGAAGCTGCTTTGCCGCACAGCCGCGGCAGCCAAGCTCTCGCTCCGCTTCACGGCGCAGCTCTTGCACCAGGGCCTCAGAAACAGGGCCAACATCTCGCCCTTGTAGTGTCCTTATAGCTGCCATATTTCCTATGCTTGGGTATATATATATATACATTGAAGGAAACTGATAGTAACCTATGTAATCCTATCCTTGCAGTAAGATAACGTAACCTGAAAGTATCCCATATAATCGAAACCGTATTGCAGTAACCTATATACTCCTATCCTTAGAGTATTAAGGTAAACTGACAGTATCCCATGCTAATCGTCAATCGTATCCTCATCATATAAGCCTTTTACTAACCTACAATCTCCTATCCTTATCACAACCTTAAAGTAGCCTGAAGGTATCCCAGATCAATATCCTCTTTGTAAGCTTACAATAGCCTGTATTATGTTAACCTCATATTAACCTTGGCCAACGTCTCGTCATGGAGTGATGTATGGGGTTGCAAGGTATGAAGCTGGGGATTCGCAGTTTGAGTGATCGGGGCGTGGAGTCGCAGTTGATTCTGGAGAGTTTAGTGACTTTCGAGTAAGTAAGAACTGGGATTTTGGGGTGTTGGGATTTAGGGTTTAAGGGGTGTGGCACCTCGGCTTGATCCAAATGACTTGCGGGCCTTTGATTTAGGAGTTTGACGGTCAATCTCAAACCCAACCGCTCAAACCCTTGCACTTCTCAGTGAATCGCGGAACAAGAAGTAGCCAGCATGATCATGACTGTTGGAAGTGGAAGTTTCAGCGAAAGGGGAACCTGATAGAGACCCGAATACAGCAGGATCCCAAAAGGCTACTCGAGCTACAGTCGATGCTCATGTTATGTAGATGACATGATCGTAGCAGCGAAACAGGTAGGGCAGTGCTGATTTCATGTCGTTGTACTGAGGGCAGCTTAACTCCGGTAGTCGTCTGCACCACATACTGCCAACACTGACCACTACATGGCCTGAAGATTGTTGCTGCAAGCGCATGCTCGAAACACGTCTCACTCGTAAGCAAGGCAGCTACGACCGCACTTGTGACTACTACAGCGCAATTGACAATTCTTGTAGTGCGGCGAACAACTGACAGCAAGACAGGCTTTGCTTTCTCGTAGAGAACATTCAGAACACGGCAGACCCCGAATGCAGGGAAAACGTAAGATGCAATAAAGGACCCTTCTCAGTACGGGATCCCGTGTTCTTTGAAATCATTAGTAGCAAAGGCACCACCCGTGCCAGCAGCTGACGATACAGCTGGGTCTACGCAAGGGTCTACACAATTTTGCGTTCATAGCAAGATACCGCGAAAGTGACGTACCGCCTTGTGCTGTTGGTTTAGGGCAGAACTCTACCAAAAGATTCTGTGGAAGATAAGAGGCCTCCGACTCCACGTGTAGGGATGCCGTCCGCCCGCTGAGCAAAGCGACATTTATCCGCATGGGAGCCGGCACACGCGCAAGTAGTTGAGGCTTTCAGGGCTTGGGAGTTCAGAGTACCGGGTTGGGTCTGCGCCTTCTGCTTGTCGTGAGTCCGTAGCTTACAAGGAGAGCTTGTGCTGCTGCAAACAGCTACTGCAGCAGCTGACTGCTGAGCTGTTTTGTCGTAGTGCCACGAAACGAGTTGATAACTTCGATTTCAGCTTGAGCACTCCAGCACAAGACTCCTAAACGAGAAATTCCAGAGGCCCAGCGCTGGCCGTGTTCTAACTGTGGACTGGACTTCAGGAACAGGGTTGCTTGTAAAAGGCAGGACACTCGCTTTAGTTTCAGGTCTATGGACACCGTAAGTGACCATGCATATCACCCGCAGCCATTGGGGTCGAAGTGAAGTGTACAAACCCATCTGCAAACCGCCACAGAGGCTTTCGCACCAAATGGCGAACTCCTACGCACGAAGCCTGGCACATCCATGACTTCATCCGTCAGTCCCTAGACATCCGTACGCGCGGAGCCAAATGCAAACAGTTGACACCCGTGAGTCCACTACACAACACTCACCAGCTTCGGAGTTTGGGATACTTCTTCGTGGTTTTAGGATTGTGGGATGGTTGGCTGTTGGGGTTTGAAACTTTGGGCGGCTAGAGGTTCGGTTCAAGGTTTGCAGGTCTACGCCTTCAAGTTAAGCTGCCATGCCTGAGAGATTCATCCGGCCGGTGTTGGAAGGAAGCAGGTCAGAAAGCTACATGTAACACTTCTGACTAAAGGATTATGGTGTCGTTAGGTAGATACCGCACCGGTTCAACATTCAACATTCAAGATGAGCTGGTGTGGACCTAGCCCATGTCAAGATTCTCATCCAAGTTCAAGCGACACCAGCGCCAGTTTGCCTTCAAGTTCACCAGCGACTCCGCTCCGTCCCGGCAGCCTCAGCACCCACGGTTTAGGGTTTAGGGGTTCAGGGTGTTAAGAGTTTAAGGGCTTAAGGTCTAATGTCTAGAGCTAAAGTAATAGTTAGAGTGACGTCTTCCAAGGCTTCAACTCTTGGTTCTTGATTTCGGACTCGGTTTCGAACCTTTCATGTTCGAACCGATGCGCACCTGCGAAAATCCCACGATGTGTGTAATTCTTGCAAGAAGGCGTCACAAAGCCTGTGCAATTGAATATGAAGACTCAAGAACCCTTGTCATTTGAAAATCAGCCCTTATCGTCCGAGAAGCCCAGCAATTTGCGAAGCGACTCCTATGTGGCGCAGGTGGCTGAGAAAGAAGCCCTCGCACAGACTTTTGGGATTGTGATGGCATGATGCAATGTTGACTACGAGTACAACAGCAACCACTACTTCGAGTTGTGTGAGACATGTGCTCCAAACCGCGACGACTACGTGTACGATTACGACGACTACTGCTTTTGACAATATGAGCGCCGCGGTTGCTATTGGTAGTAAGCTATAATGATGAGAGAGCCTAAGATGAAAGAAGAAGATGATGCTTGCGACTAGTCGTCCTGGCCTTATTATATTGCCTGCACGGCACTGTATGCGAACAACGTCGCTGTCGAAATTGAGTGCGAGTGTAAAGGATTGAATCTGGTTTGTGCTAGTGGTGAACAGTTTACGGCTGAGGGTACAGCTTTGCGCCTGGCTCAGCCTAAGCAATGCGTAAGAATAGAAACCTAGATTTCGATACCATTTCCCTTCCCGGTGCAAAGTACGAAACTAACAGACACACGTCCTCGGCATCCCAAGCAGCACGACGAAGACCATTGCCACAACGCCACAACGCGCTCATGGCCTTTGCAGGGAGCAGGTGTCAGGATGAGAGCACGTTGACTTGTGACGAAGGGTGCGGACACCATCATTCATTTTGGTTCTTCAGTGCTTCATAATAAACGGATTGTAGATCTCGATGTGATGGTGCTTACTAAATGCTGTTGTTCATATCAAATGCGTGGCAGAGTGTTGTAGGCCGTGCAGCGCTTGCAGCTCTCGGCGCCATAGAAGAACGAAGCTTCAGGTTTCGATTGAACACGAGTCTAAAGGAGGACCCGGATCGCGAGATCCTGTGCGCGACCTTCGCGCACGATCTTCTCTCCGAGTTGTACATGCGCAGCAGCTTCCAAAGACAACAATCCAACCACAAGTACCACACGGTTGGCCAGCACTGACGAGACACCAACCACCATCATCGTCATTGGCATTGCCTGCTTCTCATTTTTCATCATAATCTTCGAGTTGATGGTGTGGTCTGGCAGCAATGAGACGGCACAGAAGTTAGTAGCTCACTTTGTCTCGATGCAGATCCCACATCCTGAAGCCTAGCAGACCTAAGATACTTGAACCGGGTCCCTTTCAACAACAGCTTGAGCATGAAACTTCCCACAAGCGGAAGGCCAACCCACCCATTCAGGGCTCTGCAAAGTTTCCAAGCTCCGCTGCTTCGTCCAAAAGAGATGACTCTAGATACAGACCCTGCCCCCCAAGTGCTCCGTAAACTTTCAAGGGTCCCGATAGTTTTCCTTGGCAGGTAGTTGAGGTCCAAGTGGGCCCGGATTGGCCTTGCTTTGAACCTCACCACCTCGCAATGCAGTCAAGCATAGGGTCCTTGACAATAGAATAAGGTTTCGGGGTATATGGTCATCTCATTTCAGCATGGAGCTCTAAAGGAGTGGTATGAATAACTATTCGACCATTTTTTAATGCAGCCGTTAGAAGAGGGTTTCAGGAGGAGGGGGGGGGTGGGGTGCATTGTCGTGTAACACAGAATAGGGAACTCCAAGGAATAATTCAGACCCCTGGCTAACAACAGCGCCTGCCAGGAGCGGAGTGGCTCGTCACGAGTGGGCGCCATGCAGTCTTTGCTGGGGTCATTGAAGGACGCCTCTGCTCGTATACATAAGATGTATATGAATATACATATGTATATATACATACACATGCTTAGCATGACGTGTCTTTAGATGCGGAGAGGTATACAGAAACGGATGTAGAACAATGCATAGCTATTGAAGCTGGTAATGCTGATTTGACAGTGGCGATGCTAGTGGGGAAAACGGTGACAATGCTAATAACGGTGATGGCAAATGTGGTCAGTGCTACAACCACCTTGACCATCATCATGAACAACAAGAAGCAATCACAACCGCCTTTACAACACGCATGGAGATGTTTGTTCCCGTGCATGCTTCTGCGATGTGCAGAGCTTAGCATGTGAGGAATGCACCGGGATCTTGAATAGACATATAAGGCTTTGCCTGAGGACTGTGAGTTTAGAGGTGACTCCCTGTGCAGGCTGCTGACGATTTAGAAGTTTACCACGTGCTTCCAGTGTATATCGTGTGCTTCTGGCTTTTCTCGCGTCTTAGATCTTGTGTCTGCTACAGTGCTGGCCAGAAGCATGGCATAGCAACAAGCAATGCTCCTACCAATGTAATACAGTCTGGCTTCAATGATTCTCATGCATAGTTAGGCTGCCGGCAATAGGGATGAATGACGCTCAAACTCAACGTAATCAGCTCTCCTGGAAGTGTTTGCAAGGCATGTGGAAGCCCGAGCATCGGGCTCCGAACCTAAACCCTGAACCCTGAACTCTGAGCCCTGAACCTTGAACCCCTAAATCCTGAAGTTACGTAAATTACATGTTTTGGGGCCTGAGGGCCTTAGGGTATGTGCAGGTCTCAGAGGATAGGCTTGAGGGTTTAGGGTTAAGGAGTAGGACTTGAGCCTCAAGCTGTATTGAATTGGAAGCGTCAATGTCGCAGAGAGGAGCACAAAAACAGACCAAGCACTACGCTTTAAACTCTAATCCCAACTTCAAGACCGTGCGGCCACCAAAGCGCGGAGCGCAGCGCGGTTGAAAAGTGCGCCGAAAGCCGCAGCCCTGGAATTCAGCGTTGGCGATGCGCATATGGCGTTTGCGCCGTTTTGGGTGTCTTGATGACATTACCGATCCGACTTTTGGGATCCTTATAAGCTACAAACCTCGGAAGGAAGCGAATCGGGACAACACTTGCTGTGTAATCGTCCTAGTACGAGCCAGCACGGACATCGCAGGCCACCATTACATCTGGGGCTGCCGAGTGGGCAGGAGAGACCACTCTCCAACCTAACCTCCGCTAAAACCCTCAAACGAAAAACCCTAAAAAGCTTCTGGAGCTTTTCTACACCAAAGAAAAGCTGCAGGACACTGTAGGGGCCCCTGTCTACCCCAAACCAAAGGCTCTTGAATTTGACCTTCCGACGGGTGTGTCGGGACCGCTGTCTTGAGGTCTTGGATTTTGGGGGGTTGCAGGTCGAGGGTCCGACAACTTGCTCTTCGGGGAAACCCTGGTGCGGGGGCCTTAATGATTAGAGGAGCGTTTTGGGCTCCTTTATAGTATAGTTATACTAAGGAACCCGAAAGAAAATATATTGATAATTTTTAGGCTTCTACAGTAGCCCTCATAGAGCCCTTGCGGAATCGCATGGCCAAAGGCAGCCGGATCCCGGCTGCAAGCTTCCTGATCGGAGGAGTCAACACCAAACACCATTCTGATGCAATCCTTGAGTAAGTATGAACACACAAATAGATACATAACCCATACATATACAATATATATATATATATATATACATATATACATATTTATTTATATACACACACACACAGAAAGCGTCGCAGTGCAGGCATGAGGGCATACTTATTTATATGTATGGTAATGATCTTAACTGCTTGTCTTGCTTCCTACGGTTTAGGGTTTAGGGTGTAGGGTTTAGGATTCTACTTGATCCCAAATCCGCCTGTTCCTGTCGGAGAGCAGGATGGGCTCGGCCTGGCATTCTCAGACGGTTTAGGGGTTTAGGGTTTAGGGTTCAGGGTGTAGGGTTTAGGGTAGTACACGTTTAGGGTTTAGGGTTTAGGGTAGTATAGGTTTAGGGTTTAGGGTAGTATAGGTTTAGGGTTTAGGGCCTCCAGAAGAACAGGTTGGGTTGTAGTTTTGGGTCCGGAAAGTGTAAAGTTTCCCAA